GGAGAGTGGGCCATTCGCAGCAGGCAGCAGGCAGACGCTGATTAAAATTGGGACATTCGCATTCGGAGGAAAAGGAGAGTGGGCTGGGTGTGAGTGGGCTTTAGTTGGGTCAAATAAAATAGGGAGTGGGCCATTCTTAATTCGGCAATTCGGTTTATCGGTCCGGTCAAAGAACACATGTCTCCCGAAATTCAGCTTATTGGCATTCGAATTCCGAACCTAAATACAATTATTTCGGTTTCGGTCGGTTTGACCTCGGTTCGGTTCGGTAAAACCGAACCGTATGCCCACCCCTGTCCCCTAGTCTCCGTTAACGGCGTCAATTTTCTGCTAACGTGGCTAACAGACATGTCTGGTCACCCAGTTTAACCTGCCACATCATATGATCCGCCCTGCCACGTCATAATACTATATAACCTAACCCAACCCAGTTCAACAACCAAACCGACCCTCTCTTCTTAACGTTTCAGGCAAATTAACCTAATTTTTTTTTATTAAAGAAATTCTCTCTCTCTCTCTCTCTCTCTCTGTTTTGTTTCTTGTCTGCACGAATCTTCCCTCTCTCTCTTCACACGCGGTTTGCTTTCCCTCTCTAGATAGCGAAACCCTAATTGGCAGCAGTAGCTATCAATCGAAATCAAAATTGAAAAATCCAATCCAGAATCGAACACTCCCTGTGTTATTACTACGATCACGACACATTGGAAGCCAGCTAGATCACCCCTGCCGCTCACCGTCGGTGGGGCGCTATGGCAGGTAGACAGACAGATCAGCACCGCCACCACCGTCTTCTTGCTTGGGTCCTATCTCCCCTCCATCTTTCCTTTATTTCCCACCACCATCGTCTTCTTGCCTAGATCCAGATCAGCGACCGAGGTGGAGAGTAGCAAAAGGAGGAAATAAAGAAAGAGAGGAGAGCAAAAAGAGGAAGGCTTTCTCTTTCTTTGTTTCTCAAGTGGCGTGAGGCGACAAATAGGTTTCAAAAATTGGAAGTAGGGATTTGAGCTCGATTCAACATGGCAGCTGAGTGAGCAGTGAAGCACAACTTCCTGGCTAGTGGGCTGGCTGGCGCAGTCATTAACAAACAGCAGGAATCCGTAGCGGAGCGGCGGAGGAGGAGCAGGTGAGAGAGATAAAAGCAGGGGGGTGCGATTGTTGTGGCGACCCATTCAAGCTCCATTCATACCTGGTTGTCGAAGGGAATGCAAGAAAAATGAGGAACTAGAGTTCAGATATGGAAAGAAAAAAAAGGATAAACTCTTATTTTGTTTGAGTAGTGGGTTCATGGGTAGGTAGGTCGGTTCAAGGGTTGGGTTGTGATAGACAAAATGATATGGCTGGTTATAGTGACATGGCGGGTCATATTTCACTATTTTTTGGTTAAATTAGACTGACTAGGCGATTCTGTCTGCCACGTCAGCACATAACAGTCTTGGTTGACGGAGACAGACGGAGACTAACGGAGAGTGACCAAATTTGGACGATTTTACTAATTTTAGTGATCACGAATATATTTAAATATTTCGAGTGACCAAACATGAACGCTTTTTGTAATCACAGTGACCAACCATGCAATTAACCCCAACTTTCTCGTTTGTGACAAATATAGCAACAATTATCGAAATACATAAAATTCTGTCAATGCTTTAACGATGTCAATTAACAGTCTGACTGGATTGATGAAATGAGCTGAGTTGACGATATTTTGTCTCAACCAATACACATGGATAATGAAGAAAAAAGGATAAGAAAATCCTTCTTTTCCTCTTCCCGTTGTCATCTCCTCATCTTCCCACCTCGGTCATTTTCTTCCTTTTAGCCCCATCTTCGCTCTCTCTCCGCTGCCCTCGTTGTGTCCGATGATGCAGAAGAACTAGAGATTTTGGCGGCGCATCCCACATATGACATATCCCACCCATTTCAACACAGGTCGTTTGAAAACAACATTTTGAATGAGTTATTTCAACGGAAATAACTCATTCTCTGTTATTTGGGTTGACAGAACTCATTTGGCAAACAAAAATTGGGTTGTGGTATTTTGGGGCCACCAACAATTAAAATGATGCACAATTAGTCAATTGGAATATCTCATCTCCCTTGTACATTTCAATTAACACACTCCTCTCTTCTTTTATCGGTGAAATATCAATATCACTGCATGTGAATGTTCGATCCAAATAAGACAATAAGACTCAATTGTCACATTCCAAACTGAAATACCACATACCAAAACAATGCAATATTTTGATTCAAAATACTACAAAACCAAAATGATGCATCCAAACAACTTGTTAGGAGAATATATAAGTCACATTGAAGAGCCACGTCGACTTGTCACTTGATTTTCATATTCGGTCAAACTGTGAATCATTGGTTATAATGAGAGAAAGTATACGAAAATTAATTTCGATTCATAAGGAGAGAGGATGCGAACACCACCAATCATTATCGTGATCTTGTCATTAAAGAAAAAGAAACTTGTGTTAATCTCGCTATCGACAACTCTTGAAATCTTAGACCACTCTCTCTCTTACTTTACCTTTTGAATTTCACTCTCCCTTCTCTCTAAAGCGAGACTCTTCTCCACCCTTCCATGGCTGCCGCCGGCTCCCTCTGGTGACCGGCGGCAGCCCATCTGCTTTCTTTTCCTTTCTTTTTTCTTGCTTCCCATGCTATTTTCGCATTTGTCTCTAGGTTTTTTGCTTTTGCTCCAGCCGTTTGGCTTTCCAGCCGTGGTGGCTTTCCAGATCTAGGATTTTCCAGTCTCAAGGCTTTGCTCGTTTGGGGACATGGAGTCTGCAGCTAGGGAGGCTATCTCGCCGCGGGTGTTGGTTGTTCTTCCAGGCTGGTGGTCTCATCTTCTAGGTGAAGCCATTCTCATCCTTCCCCTTCCGGCCTCCTCAGGTTGATGTTGGTGCTTGGAGCGTCGTTGGACCGTGGAGGGCTGAGTCTTCTCCGGTTGCTGCGGTGGGAATCGGTTCTTGTGTGGCGGGTTGTGGCTTTTCCAGGAAGCTCGGCTCCCATTTGAACATGACCCCGCTGTCGTGGCCCCTCTGCCTTCTCAGCTTGGAGCAATCTGCTTCACAGCCTCTTCCACCGTCAAGCAATCTCGTGTTGAGATTCACTGTGTTGGATGTCTTGAACAATCCTCAGGAGACGGCTAATGGCATTGCTCGTCAATTCGCCATGGATCTCGTTGTGATCAGACAAGCTGTTTTGATCTTTTTGCCCTTTGGTTTGGTTGGAAGAGAGAGGGTTTATGAAAAGTTCTGCGTTTGTTTCAAGAGCTTGGCTGGTTGATGTGTGATGTCAATCTAGGCCTTGCTTTTCCCTGACGTATTTTCCCAGGCTTAGTCTGATATCATCTTGTGTTCTCTTGTTGCCTTGTTCTTGGTTTGAATCTGGGTTTTTTGTTCCCTCTCTGTAACCTTCATTTCAAAGAGCAATAAAGATCCTTTGGTAAAAAAAAAAACTCTTGAAATCTTCAACTCATTAGTTTATAGTTGGATTGAATCTTAATATCAGAAGACAAGTGGATGCAACTCTTCAACACATTTCACCATTTTTCGTGACAAATACAAAAGAAAGTTGTTATTTACCGCCCAAATATTTACTATTTGCCGCATATAAACTCTCGTGAAAAGTCTACAACACCTACAGATTTCCATACTTGATCATTCCTCTGAAGTGGAGAGGGTCAAATTTATGTTTGGTTGGGGAAGTAATAACTAACAAGGAGAGTGTATATCCCCTCTCTCTCTACAATACAACTCACAGGATGACTTCCTCTCTCTTACTTTAATTCAAAATATCTGCTCTCCCTTCTCTCTACTCCAGCTCCTAACCTCTGCTTTCTAGGGGCTGCCGCCGACTCCTTTTGGTGACCGACGGCAGCTCATGCTTTCCATTTTTCGTTTTCTTGCCTTCCTTGCTTGCCCTTGTCTTTCGGCAGTGTTTTTTCCGGTTTTCTCAGTTTTCAATCTTCTTCTCCAGCTGATGTGGCGTTCCAGTTTCCTCTCCAGTTGAGCTTTTGCTCTTCAGTCTTGTTTTGGGCTTGCTCTCTTTTGGGATCTGGAGGTTGCAGATTGGATGTCTCATTCCTCTCTTGGTGGTGGTTGATTGTACCAATCTGGTGGTCTCACCGGCTTTGGTGAAGCCATTCGCTGCTCTCCCATCTGACCTCTCCTGGTTGCTTGCTCTGCCTGGCTGTTCGTCGGATTGTTGAGAGTAGGGTCCTCTCCGGCTGTTTGCTGTGGTGGCTTGGTGTCTCCTTGGAGTGGGTGGCCTTTTCTGGCTTTTCTACGCTCCTTCGAACCCGACTGCTCTGCTTCGACTTCCCCTGCCCTTTCAGCTTGGAGCTATCTGCTTCACAGCCTTTTCCACCGTCATGCAATCTCGCTTTGAGATTCACTGTGTTGGGTGTCTTCGAACAACCCCCAGGAGTCGGCTTGTGGCATTGCTGTGTGTCTTTGCCATGGATTTCGTTGTGAGCGGACAAGCTGATGCTGATCTGTTTGCTACTTGGTTTGATTGGATACTAGAGGGATTATGATTGTGTTGGGTTTGGTTCAAGCGATAGGCATTTGATGTGTGTTTTCATTCTGTGCCTTGCTTTCTCCTGCTGTATTTTCCATGCATGGTTTGATTTTATCTTGTGTTTCAGTGCTGTCTTGATCTTATTTTGGATCCAGGGTTTTTAAATCCCTCTTTGTAACCGATCATTCGAAGTGCAATTCAAGATCCCTTTGTCAAAAAAAAAAAAGAAAAAAGAGAGTGTATATCGGGAAACTAAAATCTCATATGGCAGAAGAACTCAGCAAGGGAGAAAAAAGAAGGCAGGGCTCTCCCTATCCTAATATCCTATCATAGAATTTTCTTAAAACCCATTTCAATTTTTCATTCAGAGTTTCACTTTTCTTCTTCTTCTTCTTCCTGCTGTCACATAAAAAGAAGCAGTACTGATACGATCTCCTTTCTTCTTTACTAAGCTAAGATCATACCAAAAGATTTTCCCTTTCCCTCCCTCTATCAACCCTGAACCAACCCCTACTACTGCAACTTCACTTCTCTTTCCCTTTTTTCCTTCTACACTCTGCCCTTCTTCTTTCCTCTTCTCTGCAACTGCAATCAAAGCAAACGTCTCAGCAGCAAGCAACCCATCACAACACCAGAAGCATTTATCCATGCTTCACTTGCTCATTTATTGTTTGCTTGATATCTCTCTCACCTACTAATCTTCCTCGAGCTCTTCAACAGTGAAGTCTCCCATCCCACCATAGCCCCATTTCTTCTCGTATCTTCTTACCTCTGATTGCTGGTTCAGAAAACCGAAATCTTCACTTCACTTCACTTTCGTGTTTTGGTTCTTTCTTTTACTCTGAGAAACAGAGCGAAAAAAAAGCATCTTTATTACAACACAAACACAGAAACACAAAAACAGAGCACCCTGCTCTGTTTTCTGTTCCTTTTTTCCGCTACTCTGAAGATGCAAAGCTTCAGGGCTACAGCGTCATCATCCCACCATCATTATCATCACCATCATCACGATACCATTCCTTCTACTGTTTTCCATACCTCTGAAATGTACTGCAACTCCCCTGTTCCGCCACCTCCTTACTTTTTCCGGTAACCCCTTTCCCTCGTCTTTTTTTCTCTGAAAGCCATCATTGGCTGAGTTTATTTTAGTCCCTGCATAAATAGTTGACTTGCTCTGTTTTATTTCCCACCTTCCCCACCACGGAAAACAGAGGAGGAGGAGGAGGAGAAGAAGATGAAGACTGTAGAAGCCAAACCCGGTTTGGTGACCTTGGGGAGCTTGATCATCCCCAACCAACAACAACCCACTCTCTCCCCCCACCTCCTTCTGCTTTCCAACACCACCATGCTGTTGATTTAAGCCCAAGTAAGTCTATCACCAAGCCTTTTTTCGTGTTGTAAAAGTCATGGGTTGTTAATTTTCTTTCCTTTAAAAACATGGGTTTGGTGGTGGTTTGTGTAGGCTCCATGTTCAGTTCAAAATCAGGAAACAATGTCGCCCTCGCCCATGGAAGCAACACCAGTTTACATTTCGCTTCGCCATTGATTACGGTAGCAACATCAGAATTCAGAACAAGTCCCTTTGACATTACCATTTGTTCACGAAGTCTCTGGCTTTTGTTTCGCGTTGATGGTGTAGACTGGGATCGGAGAGGTTGCAGCGGCAGGGTGTTTGGACACAGGGCAATACCTGTACGGGAGAGCGACATTGTTGGGGAACGAGCAGCAGAATAACAACAACAATAGCAACAACAGTAGTAGGTGTGGTGGTAATCTCGAGAAGTGGGGGGATTCAATTTCAACCTCGACCGGGATGGGTGCAGGAGGAGGAGGAGATACGAGCCAGCAGACTACTGACACTTCCACAGATGTCGATACTGATGAAAGAAACCAATTTCACCACCAGGTCAGTTCTTGGGTTTCTTAGGAATTTGTCTTCTTTCTCTGCACATATGCTCTGTTTTCCCCATTGGTTAAAGCTTGGGGAGAGGAGAAGTGAGAATCTTTCTGCTCCGAATCTGTGGTGGTGGTGGTGGGTCTGTTTCGGAATTGAGGAATCAGCTGCCTTCCCCCCTAATTCCCCCCTACTGCTCTCACTGTACAATGTGCTCTGTTTTTTGTATTTCCTTGTGGATTTTGTTCCATATGGATATCTGTATTGTTTTTTCCGAAAGGAAAAAAAGAGGGAGACAGTACAGTGTCACCTTTTGTCCTTCTTTTTGTGCTTTGTGTTGTGATCCTAATCCGTTTCCAGTACTCTTGCTTTTTAGTAGCTAATTAACAGTAATTCATGAAAAAAACAAAGGGGATTTGTTAATTGTTCTGAGCTGGGTTGATGAAAAGGCAAGCTTTTTCTGGTTGCTTCCTTTTTCTGGTTGCAGCAGCAGCAGCAGATTGGTGATGGTGGCCAACATGGCTCAATTTTGGTGGTTGATTCCATGGATCAATCCAAGGGCAAAATCGATGACCAAAAGGTTTCTACTTTTCTTGAGCTGTCAATTTGATCATTTTCTCAAGTGTCAATTTGATAGCCCTTTTTCCCTTACTGCTGCTTGCTTTCTTCCCTTGTGCAGCAGACTCTTCGAAGGTTGGCTCAGAACCGGGAAGCAGCCAGAAAGAGTCGCCTGAGGAAGAAGGTACCAATCTGTTTTTGCAAAAATTACAATGTAGATGAATGAATGAACACATTTCGAAGGAATCATAAGTTTTTGGTTTTGGATTAGGCTTATGTCCAGCAGCTTGAGAACAGTCGCTTAAGGCTTACCCAACTCGAACAAGAACTACAACGTGCGCGCCAACAGGGAATTTTCGCCGCCTCCACAGGTGCATCGGTGGACTACCATGGCCACTCAGTATCAGGAAATGGAGGCGGTGGTGCGATGGCATTCGACATGGAATACGCACGATGGATCGACGAGCATCAGAGGCTGATCAACGAGTTGAGAACCGCCGTGAACTCCCAGATGGGCGACAACGAGCTCCGCATTCTAGTCGACGGCGTCATGGATAACTACGACGAGATATTCAGGCTGAAGAGCATCGCGGCCAAGGCCGATGTTTTCCACATGCTCTCCGGCATGTGGAAGACTCCGGCCGAGAGGTGCTTCATGTGGCTGGGTGGATTCCGCTCTTCTGAACTACTCAAGGTAACCTTCCACCAGCATCAACCCAAAAACCGGAATAGGATCAAAATTAGATCTTCTCTGCTCTTCTCTTACTCAAAAACATTTTCTTCCTGATGTGGAAAAAATCCCAGATACTAGGGAACCAGCTGGAGCCTTTGACGGATCAGCAGCTAGTGGGGATATGCAATCTGCAGCAATCATCTCAGCAGGCCGAAGATGCTTTGTCGCAAGGGATGGAAGCCTTGCAGCAATCCCTCGTCGACACGCTCTCTTCGTCGTCCCTGCGATCAGCTGGCACTGGTAATGTGGCGGATTACATGGGCCAGATGGCCATTGCTATGGGAAAGCTTGCCACGCTGGAGAATTTCCTTCACCAGGCTGACCTTCTGCGGCAGCAGACTCTGCAGCAGCTGCATCGAATCCTGACGACTCGGCAGGCTGCTCGCGCCCTGCTCGTGATCAGCGACTACACCTCTCGGTTAAGGGCACTGAGTTCTCTATGGATGGCACGACCAAGAGATTGATAGGTTCATAAAAAAAGAACGTTTTGGTGTGTGGGGGGGAATGATGGGACAACTGGTTTTGGATTCCTCAGATTTTGTTTCTGTTGTCATTTCTCCAGTTGTCTGGATATGTTTAGTACAAGAGAAGATTACTGTAGAATTTGCAGGCCGAACACTTATAATGCACTAATGTAATGTAGGTTGAATGACAATTCACACTAATTTACGGACGAAATTGACGCTCTTGTTATTGAGATGGATTGGTGTTACGAACAAAAAAGCAACCGATGTTCATGGTTGCCTGCAGTTTCAGAGCAATTCAATGGAAACTATCATCTGAAACCAAACAAAATCTTCGCATACAACTGTGGTATTAGTGACCTTACAAGATAAGGGTTTTTACCCATCTCGCTTCATGTGTTCGACTACTACGTCAGTACGTCTCCTCCTAAGATTTGCTAACCAGAAAATCTGCTTGTTGGATGAATCGTCAGTGCTTGTTCGGCACCATCTTCTTCTCTGCTTGTTGCTTGTGACTGCTACCGCCTCGTCTGCCTGCAAATCGCGCAACGAACAAGCACCCAATTGAGCACGAAACGCGAAACCAAAACCGCGAGTATCGAAAACCCTAAACCCTTTTGCAGAGTACCACAGAGGTAAAAAAAAAAAAAAACCCCCACTTACCATGATTACCATTCCCGTTCCTTCTCCTGGATTTGGCGGCGGTTAGAGGAATGAAAACACCAGTACCACCAAATCCACCGCCACCGTTCCTCGACACGTTCACCGCCGGCCAAGTTGGTAGAGAATAGGAACTGCTATAGAATAAGCCTCCAGTTGCAGCAGCAGGCTGTGCCATCGAATCGAAGTACCCAACATTGTCCCGGCGGCGAGGAGTACTCGCGGCGGAATCGTCGTCATCGGCCGTCAAAATCAGGACCTGCCTCACAAGCTCCGCGTAGAAGTCGTCGTCTTCAAGCTGATGATCATCACCATCGCCGTAAATCCCACCACCAACACTAACCCTCCGGCCCTCTGTGTCGCACAGAACATCCATGGCGCTAAAAGAAATTTGGGCCTTTCGGACGAATGGGTTGGATTCCGTTTCGCAAAAGAGAAGGAAAACCGAAAGAGCGAATTGGGTTATGATTGAGGAAGGAAAAGGGGTGATGGGTATTTATAACAGAGTTGAAATTGTGAAGGAAAGGGTGTGAGGGAGCAGAAGAACGTGTTGCTTTGATGGCAAAGGGGAAGAAGAAAACGGTGTTTTGGTTCAGAGAAATTATTTAATGGGGGAATAAAATTTTGCGGGGATGAGGAGGTGTCTCCAAATGTCTGGAAATAGAAGTACCCAAATTCATTCAATTCAGTAATGCTTTCCCACTTACGTACGTTTATGAGAGAAGTTGACTCCTTTTGCTTAGTTTTGTATTGCATTGGATTTCAGTTGATTAGGGAATGTGGCATGAATCTGGAAATGACTTGGGAGGGAAGGAATTAATCAAATTGTTTTTGGGGTCTATGTTTGGATGGTTTTGGGAGATCCATAATCAAATTGGAAATGGATATGGGGATTTGGTTCATGGAACCTGTTTGTTTCCAGCGCAAGGGATACGTCCATTGGCGAATCTCCTTCCTTCTATTGTGTTTCGGCGCGTAATGAATCGTTAACAGAAGTTTTATCCGTTGAAGAACAAGTATGTCACTTGAGTTCATAAATGTCTAGATATTATGACCGAGACATTACATCTATTGGAGGGTGTTTGGATATCAAATGTCGAGGTGTTTGAATACAAGATTTTGTGCACGTAGCGAATTTTTTTTATTACATGACAAACAACCTTAAATGCATTTTCATCTAAAAAAAGGTGTTTCTACTTTCTAGACATGAGATGATTGGATAGTCGATAAGTTAACATCACAATAAAAAAAAAGTATTGTGCTCGCCATGAGTTCCTTGCAAAAAAAGGTAATTGACGCTATGAGACTCTTCGTATATGATCTCTGTGTAGCCTGCTGTCTCGCCTGATCGACAACATTTTGGAGCACACTTTTCCATATGGATGTCATGCATAATTGAGCATCCTTGTGTAGGGGAATCCTCTAGTAACACAAAACCTATCGTGTCTGATGTTCCGCAGCACATAGTAATGAATGAAAAAACGATAAGTGTATGTTGCCCATAGAGTTTCAAACGTCGATACATCGTCACCCTAGGGTTATGGAGCATGATTTCCTGTAAAACATATAACGTAAGAATAATGACCGAAAATTATAAGTATATAGTCGATAAACCAGAATAATTCAAAATTAACACTCTAGAATGACAACAACTTATGCTATGCAGCTATTAAACATCTTGAACCCAAAAAAAAAGTGTTGATTTCACGACCCAGATTGTATCGTGTTATAAACGCACTGCTATGGATCGGGAAATCGCCGGAATCGATAAAGCAAGAATACGAAAGCGAGAATCGAAAAACACAGACACATGATTTACGTGGTTCACTAACACGATGTGTGTTAGCTAGTCCACGGGCGAGAGAGAGTCAGTTTCACTATATCGAGGAGATTACAGATTACAGAGGAGTATGAGAAGTATTTATAGTGCTTCTCCATATGGGTCTAAAACTAATCCAATTTGGCAAAGGAAACGGTTACAGACCAGGCCCAGAACCCGAACCCTTACAACATTGAGCCCATACACCGTGGGCCAGGGGCGTTGCCCCTGGACCTCACTCGCTGACCGGGCAGCAAAACCCCCGACTACCAGTCGTAGCGGCTGATAGTCCAATTCAAGTCACATCAACATATCGGTAACCCACTACCTGAGGGACAGATTACTACTTTGTAGTAATCACCGTGGTTACTAAGGGTAAATTGGGTATGGAAAAAATAAATTATATTAATTAATTTTTTAATAAATTACATTTTAGGTAGTTACAAAAATCTATTAATTAAAATTCTCTCTTTCTCTCACTTCCGTGATCTCCAGCCAGATTTCCTTTCCATATTTTTCTCAATCTTTCTGTAAAAAAAAAAAAAAAAACGAAATCAGTACCAATCCATTAGACAAACACTACCACTTTGAAAAACATCAATACCATTGCAGAAATAAATCTATACCATTACACGAAAACTACCATCGCATAAATAAATCTATACCATTACACGAAAACTACCAATATAAACAATCTATACCACTCAATTTACGAAAACTACCAATACAAGGACTATAGAAAAAAATCACTACCAATATGAGGAAAAAAACACTACCATTGCGAAAAAACAATACCAATGCGACAAAAACAATACCAATGCGAAAAACTCTACCACTACGAAAAAATCACTACGAATATGAAAAAAATATATACCAATAAAAAAATAGCCATATGTTCTCTAGTCCAATTTTCCCGATAAAAAAAGCCATATTGATCGAGAGTTGTAGAAGAAGTAGAGAGAGAGATCGGGGTTTACCTGAGATCAATAGTTGTGGGAAGGGTCCCCTATGGAAGAAGAAGAATAGAAGGAGGGAGAGAGGGAAGAAGAATGGCCGGCGCAGATAGAAAGAGGGGGGAGGAATCTCGATTAGGGAGTGGGCATAGGGTTAGGGGAGAGGAAGGAAATGGTAAGTTATAAATATAGATATTTATCTGGTGTGGTAATATTTTGATTCCAAAATTACCCTTAATATAATCTTAACCATCATTTTAAAAAAGAGAAAAATAGAACTAATGAAAGGTTTAGATATAAGTTGCCACGGTGGTTACTAAAAAAATTAGTATCCACTGTAACCCATTCCCACTACCGGACTGCCCAGTAGCTTTGCTTTGGAACAAAATGAAGAAAATAATTGCACAAATACAAATTCAAATACGGTATTTTATTTTATTTTATGAAGATCTTGGCTCATCTGTCCGGCCGCAGAACTTGCCAAGTGGCTCCTAATTGTCTTTCAGCCTGCATGTTATCTATTTTTCAATGTTCTGTGTCCAAAGTATAAATAATTGGTAATTTATATAATAATAGAGATATCGTACTCTGATTCTGTATCTTATTGTTAAAAATCATTATCTAGGATTTCACATCTCTTTTTATGTTTTTGGTAGAATGATCTTGTTAACAACTCTAACCATCGGGAAAAAAATAAATTATAGAACATGAGTAGCACTTAGCGTGGGTTCCATATAATTGAATGGCCTTTCAGAAGATTATTAATCCACTATCGATGGAAAGAGGAGCCCAAAAACTCAAGCTTGGCCTAAACCTACAATTTTGTTGCTTTGCTTTGATTGACCCAAACCTCAATAATTAGAGTTGTTGAAGATACTATTTTCCTTTTAAACTCTGAATTTGATTTTATCTCTGGTATCACATTATCTCTACTCTACCAATTTGTTACAATTTAACAAGTGTGCGGTTATGCAGATGTTTTTGTTTAGCGGGATGAAATGGCTTTCGGTTGGTTTGGTTTCGACCGAACCGAAATTATGAATATCGGATCTCTGAATTTTCCCAAATCTCAAACCGAATTATAATTTGGTTTGGTTGGTTTAAAACGAATTATAATTTGGTTCGGTTTGATTTTTCACACAAAACCGAATTTGTGAAGCTACTTGTATCTTTTCACTTTTAAATTATTTTTCACCCCTAATTTAAACAATAAGTATGCAATTATATGCATCATCAATGATAAAATCAAACTTTTCAACACATAAGTCATAAAACATTTCAAATATTTTAGTCTAAAAAAAACTACAAACATAAAAATCCACCATTTGGAGCTTGCAATTATAGTTTTCAATTTTTTTGGTCGGAAATTCAGTTCGGTTGAAAGAACCCTGATTTCCGATCTATCCATATTTTCCTTCCAAATTCCGAACTGAATAGCACTAATTCGGTTTAGGTTTCGGTTCGGGTTTACCGAATCGGTTGCCCACCCCTAGTTGATCAATTAATCTCATCACATTTAGGGACATAGCTAGAAAATTAGTTAACGTGAATCCATTTATAAAATTTAAATATATTAATATTGAAAAAAGATATTTATATACAATTAATATTTAATTAATTGTTTAAATTTAAAGTGTGAGTAAATTTAAATTAGGAAAATTAGGAAAGAAAATCAAATAAAAAATTTGAATAAATATTAATGTTATTAAACGAGAAAAGTTGAAGTAAGAAAATAATGAGTTTAATTTGGATATAAAAGAGTAAAACTTGCCTAAGATAAAATCAAATATTAATAGTACACAAATCAATAGAAGAAAGGAAAAAAATCAAATAAAAAAGTTGAATAAAAAGCAATGTTATTAAATGAGAAAAGTTGAAGTAAGAAGGTAATGAGTTTAATTTGGATATAAAAGAATAAAACTTACATAATATAAGATTTGAAATTGTGACCTCTCATTTATTGAACAACATTCTAATCATATAGACCATTTTGATTTCTTGATTATATTTTGAAAGTCCTGCTTTTATACCTATTTTTTAATTTGTCAATTTTTCAAACAACCAAATACGAAGTATATTGTCATCTCTCGACCCAAGGTGGGTCCGGGGACCCGCCCTATTGTACTCTGGCTCCGCCCCCTTCACATTGATTTTGTTGAGTAGGATGAGATGGATTGATATCACATTGGTGATATTAATTTGCGATGAGCAAGCTTGTGAGTAGAAAAATAAATTAATTATGCATTTATTCTCTTGTATTTAGGACAACTAACAAAATCATTTTTTATGAACTATGAAAATCATTGAACGAATTGAAGGATACAAGTAAAAAATTTTAGGGTGTGCCTAGTGCCTACGGTGACATGCATGTCACGGTGACTTGCGCTTTCCGGTCGACCTCAGTTAGGATTAGGTCGACCTCACATTGAATTCGGTCGACCTCATATAGGATCCGGTCGACCTCATTTAGGATTCGGTCGACCTCATATAGGATCCGGTCGACCTAATATGTTGTTTCAGTGTAAAAACTGTTCATGGTGCCAACTTTGGATATTCATATCATACAATTGGCTAGATGGAAATTGAAGACTAATGACTTGTTTTGAAGCTGGAGTGTCCCTCTACATATTGAAGTGATTGAGAGCTCGATAGGAAGTCCAGAAGACCATTTTTGAACCTCATCAAAAGGCTATGCCAAAACTGGGAAACTGCCTAGAAATGGCTAAGTCTGGAAACGTGTTTATGAAGCCTATTTTTGAGCTCAATTCGAGAAGCATGAATGCGAGTCGAGTCCAGGAGCCTCTACCACGTTAAATTATGTATGTTTTTATACAAATTCAAGGAATTGGATGAAAGATTGGATATCTTTAAGCCTTCAAACAAAAGGGTCGAAGTTGCTACGAAGGCTGTTTTTCTGGCAGACTTCGAGCACAACCAAGCTGCCAGAAAAACAGGCTTCGTAGCAACTTCGAGCCTTTTGTTTGAAGCCTTAAAGATATTCAATCTTTCATTCAATGTCTTGCCTTTGTATAAAAAAAATACGTAATTTAACGTTGTAAAGGCCCCTGGACTTGACTCGCATCC